GGCGGCAGGGGGGCAGGTAGGTCCAGCACCACGAGGAGCCCCCTGGGTTGGGCTGGGGGTCTCAGCATCGGGGCTGCCCCACGCCCACACTATCCCTGGTTTCCACTCAAGGCTGTGGGGCCAAAGCTGCCCCTGTGGCCTGGAGGTGGTGGGGGGCTGTGGGCATCTTCCCCTGCAAAGGACAGGAGGAGGTTGCATGGGGTCCTTGTTCTGATGCTGCCGAACCCTTTTCTCCCCAGGCTGCTCTACAACCTGCGGTACCTGGGCAGGACCGGCGTTGGGAAGGTGAGGTGGTAGAGCAGAGATGTGCCTAAGGGCTAAATTGTCTCTTCTGGGTTTCTTTTCACGGGCAGTGGGTTATTCCCTCCTTCCTGCTCTGTTTCAGTACGGTGGCAAAGAGGTGCTGGACTGGGCCATCCCCACGGTGCTGGAGAGGCACTCGGCAGCACCGGTGAGCAACGGGGCTGAGGGCATCCCGGGAAGGGCTTGGGGAGAAAACTGCAGGGAAAGATGGTCACTGCCTGGGATATTTTTGCATGCCAGCTCCAGGTTCACTTGGGCTGGCCGAGTATTTGACATCTCCCACCCCTGTGTTTTGTTTTGTTTTGTTTTTTTCCTGGTTAGAAGCATCTCTGCATCCAGGATAGGAAAGTGCGTTAAGAAAAAAAACCAAAAAATACAACCACCTGCAGGAAAGCGCTTGGAAAACTGGGGAGGCTGAGCCTGGTTCCAGGGGTGCTTTAGGGCTCAAGTCATTGTTGCTTGAGCCTTTTCGGGGGAGTTGTGTCTGCTTCTGAATAATCTCTCTCTTGTAAATGTCTTATTACAAATAGAGCTCAGACGCTGTCATGATTGGGGCTTCTTCCCCCCCTCCATCCCCCATTCAGGAGGTTTTGTTTGATGTGAGGGAAGCAGAAGTCCTCGTACAGGAGAAGACTACTTCCAAGGTAAGCGAACAACACCCAAGGTCCGGGTGACTCCGGAGGCTGCTGATCCCATGGTGCGGGGAGCCTGGCTGGAGGGGTCATGGGGCCAGTTTAAACCAGGAATGGGGACAACAGGGACTGACTGCAGCCCCCAACACCATCTCCCTCCTGTCCCCTGTGCAGCTCCTGTGCCGCTACCCCTACCCCAGCATCTCCTGTGTGGGACGCTGCACAGACAGCAGCAATTTATTCGCCTTCTGCGTGGCGTGTTGCCCGTGGGACCTGGGGGGAGTGGATATAGAGGGATGCGGGTGTTGGAAAATAAACAAGCGATGTCCAGACCAGCCATGGGGTCTCTGGTGTGGTTACAAGCCTGGGCTGGGCTTTCAGAGCGGCTCTGTCTGCTGGTTAATGTACGTGATTCCATTTTTAGCGCTTCCCCGGAGAGCCCTGATGGGAGCACGTTCGACTGCCTGGTGTTTGCATCGAGTGCTGAGGAAGAATGTGAGGAAATCATCAGGCGAATCGGTAAGGGAATGGTTTATTGTCTTCAGCTATCATCACAGTGAGACCGTGGAATACCAAGAATTACTGTTCTGGTCCACCACATGCGATATCTAACTTAATTTCTTTTTGTTGAGGTTACTAAGATGAATAGATACTTTGATACAGTTTTCTGGCGCGTTTGGTTTTTGTGTTGTTTGTGTTTGGGGTTTTTTTTTAGCTGCTAGACAATGATTTTATTTTAAGAAACAGCTTCTAGGCATACCCAGATGGTTCATTGTTTCCACTAAGAACTTAGAGGAAACATTGTTTTCGAGGGATGTTATTTTAAAAAAAACCATACTTTTCCTACAGGAGCCCAGCCTGCTACTGCAGTTGAGCACCACATCAAGCATTCATAAATCCCATCACTTGCAATTCTTATTTTTAATGTCTCTAAATGCAAGCTGTGTGGTGCTCCCCAAATTTCGTGGCTCCTGGGCCACCAAGGATCCTCAGCTTGCTTGTGGGGACAACCCTGCTGGATGTCCCCTTGACAGGCTGTACCCCCCAGGACAGACCTGCCCAGGTGATCTACCTGAGAGCACTTACTGTCAACTAAAGGCTCAGAGGGTGCTTGACTTTGATCCAGGCCTTTAAAGCAATTAGGCTTACAATTTAGATGCAAGGAAATCCTTTTCCTTACAGGTTTAGCACTGAGGGAAATACTTGGATCCAAGAGCCTACTCTTGGATCATTTTTGGACATGTTTCTAGCAGCTCTGTGGCAGAGGTGATAATGGCATTAACCTGGGGCTCTGTTTGTTCCAAGCACACTTGGAGCAGCGTAGGAAAGGGCGTTGAGGAAGTTGTGCAAGAGCGCGTGGTAAGGAGCGCCTGTTCCTCCAGCTGCAGGATTTAAGCACACGGAGTGGTTTGTCTGATAAGGGAGAGCCCTGGCTCCAGCCCCGAGCGATGCAGGCCCTGACTCCGGGGAGCAGGACTCAGGAGGGTTTTTCAAACTGCTTTCATGCTGTTGTTGTGGAAGGAAGTGCTGTAAACGTGTCCGATCTGCAAATAGTTGTGCAGACAGCCAGCGCTGACTTACTGCCTGCTCTCTGGTATGAACTAGTGCTGTTCTTCCTCCTGAAATGTGACTTCTGCCACAGCACTTCAAACTTCATTGAAATAAATGAAGATGAGCTAGCTTAACTACTTGTCTGTGCTACTTTTCTGTGCCAACTCTAGTCTTACTAGTGCAGCCTGTTCTTTAAGAGTTGAGAGCTGGCCTCACAATTCAATTTAAATGTGAATTACCTGTTTCAGATGTAGTCTGAGCAGCTTTCCTTCACCACAACCTAATGAGGTACGGCTGTTCCCAGAGGCACTGCTGAGAAAACCAGACCTGCCTTAGCAGAGGGTTTTATTCTGAAGGTTTGAGTATAATCCTGTTTCATCAAAAAACTTTTAAGATGGGGAATGAGAACCTTATTCCACTTTGCTTAGCAGCCTGTATCCTCTCAGGTGGTATAATTAGCTCTTCCATCCTGCACTGCTAGTGCTGGCTGCTGTTATTAACGGGGACTGTCACACAGCCAGATCCCAGAGAGCCACAGGCCGCAGCCACTCACACTCCACACCTCAGCACAGGGAACAAGCTGGCAGTTTTGCTTCAGGCAGACCAGTCACACCACCAGAACAAGCTTCCCCTGCATCTACTGGGATGGAGAAAAGCAAAACTTAAGGGTTATACTTGAACACTGACAAGCAGTTAAGCTTTAATAAAACAAAACCCCAAAAGCCCCCCGTGAGAGGCAGAAGGCTGCTGCCTAACCTAGGCCTGTCAGTCCGGCTATTCCTCCTCTACCCCGCAGCTGCAGGGCTCAGCTCTGCTCTCACTGGCCAAGAGCAATGACTCAAGCTACAGAAAGCCTCCAAAAACCTCCAAGGGTGGCCAGGGCAAGTTCTCCATTCTGTTGACAGGACAAAATTAAGTTGCCACAGCAGCAGTCCTGGATTGCAGGCATCTACAGCTAACCTACTGGAGCCAGGAGGAGGAAGCTTCAAGCCCATACAAACCAAATGACAAAGACTCCTCACATGTGAATGTAAAACATTTAATTTAAAAATGTTGACACTACAATATATAAAATAGCTATTATAAATGCACATAGTGTATTCTATAGCTGCCAGGTTTACGTTTTTAGGAAACTGTAAGTTACACTGTGGTTAAGACTTGTAGTTTCACCCTCTGAAAAAGTCCACATTTGATCACAGTGATGTATGGTCAGACTAACAGCCCCAATTGTTAAACACTTGGATCAAGTCATAACCAGTTTTATTGCAAAAGGACCCTGTACACATTTATATCAATTCTAGTACCTTACAAGTTTAGCTACCCAACAAGTCATTAACATACAGAAACATGCATGAGAAGCAAGAAAGATCACCCATCCCTTCTGCATATTAGCAACTTGTCACTCCTGAGCAACAAGGCTCACATCACTGAGGTTTATGTGAACAGTCACTTTTAGCATTCATCCTGAGTGAAAGATGGAATGACTTAAGTACAAATGCAACATATTATAAACAATTTCTTACAAAAAAGTCACAAATTAAAACCAAAGTATTTTACAGAATTTACTACAAAACACCATAAAAACAGCCTTCACTTAAGCCCTCTCCCCCCGTATCCTGCGAGCCAACTGGATGTCTTTGGGCATGATAGTGACTCTCTTGGCATGGATGGCGCACAGGTTTGTATCTTCAAACAGACCCACCAGATACGCTTCACTGGCCTCCTGTTTCAAGAGCATAAGAAGAAATGTCGTTAGAAACCCTGACCGCAGCACGCTTAGGGTCGCGAGGGCCAAGGCCCAGCAGGCCGCTAGCAATACCTGCAGCGCACCGATGGCTGCACTCTGGAACCTCAAGTCTGTTTTGAAGTCTTGGGCGATTTCCCTGACCAGCCGTTGGAAGGGCAGCTTGCGGATCAGCAGCTCCGTGGACTTCTGGTAGCGACGGATCTCACGGAGGGCGACGGTGCCCGGCCTGCGAGGAGGAGGAGGGAGGAGGAAGAGGGTGAGCCGGGGCAGGGGCTGCGCCAGCGCCGGGCCGTACC